TGGAGCATCATTTTTGTGTGCATAGGTTTTGAAGCCCTTCTTTCGTCGTCCATAAATGCTAATTCCTTGAAGTGGGCAGGATGAGAGGGAGGGGGTCATCGATTAACTGATGACACGTTCGTTTTATTCGTGTTTTGATCTCTGTCACCTTCGTTCATGGTCATTCTCTTTACGCTTGTGTAGGAGAACACATGGGATTATCAGGCCTATTCTCATTTCAATTTACTTTTCATTATTATAGCGATTTACATTTGGGGAAAAACCTCTCCTATGCCTTGCTGACTCATCGACTGACACGCTGCATTCAACAACGGAGAATACTTCAGGGTGTTTTTTACCTGAACAGCTGATCGCAATGGATTGTCGGATCCTTTTATGTAATACATACCATCTTGGGCATCGACCTGGTCATGAGCGTGTTCAAAAAGCCGGAGGATTGCATAAAATGATCAACTGGCCGCGATCGATTCTGACAGATTCTGGTGGTTTTCAGGTGAAAGTTCAATCTTAAATGCAGATTCATCTTTGTTTCATCTCATTCGGGTTGTGCTTTGGGATGTGAGGTGGCAGTGAGATTTCGATAGCTGTGGAGTCGAAGACAAGCTTTATGCTCACTCGTAGGATCCCATTCCTTGCCATGTGCTGAATGGGTCTTCAGCGCTCAGTGCACAGGAACGCAACAGGAGGGTAGTTATGCCCGTCTCCCGACTCCATCCCCACTGCTGCACGGCCAGCCACACTCCACAACCATTACGTGCTGCTTGTCTGCACCCTCTCTATCTTTGACCACGTTTTCGCTGCGGTGTTTTGGTATTGACACAAAAGCTGCACCTTGAAGATTGCCCAGGCACAGTTTCAAGCTTCAGATAGAGTTCAAGGCATATACGTTGAGGAAGCGCTTGTAAACTAGCAAAGATTCCCTAGTTGTTCGATTTGTCTGTTAGGTCGTGATGCGAATGCCGAACACTTGCACCAGTTACAACGCTTCTTTCGCATCCTTCTCTATAACATGGGAGTGTTGAACTGGACCAGTGCGCTTTCAGTGATTCAGTATTTAGCATTCGGAATTTTGTGAACTTCGCGAGAGGTCGCACTCACACCTGGAGAACAACCGTACGCTACTCGATGGACCCTCATACTCAATCCGCCGACTATTGCACATGGATTGTAGGGGCAGTAGTGGTACTTCAAAGACGAACTGTTCACTCACCTTCGAGAACAGTCCTCGCCGCGTGTGAGGTGAATGCAGCTGCGACGGCGTACCATTTTATCCGGACAAAAGTGGTCGGGGCCGGGGCTGGACAGTGGCGATTCACTTGTGCCGTCTCCATACTGCGTGCGCGCCAATCTCAGTGCGCGGCACTCACACTTTTACCTCAAGGTCTCGCAGCGAAGTACGCACTCAGCGGTAGAGAGACCACAAGTGAGAGGGCGCAGAGGTGTAGCACATTTGGCTATGATTAGGCGTATGGCTGCCCATGGGCAGCGCGAGCGGAGTATGGAGACTGTACACGGGTATGTTTTCCCTGAAAGCCCCGTGCTCGTCCACTTTTGACCGAAATGGCATGTTAGTGCAGCTGCGGACCCGTTCTCCTCACACATGGCAAGGACCGGATCCAGAGTTGAGTGTACAGTTTTTCTTGAAGGAATCGCTTGTGGGATTACCCACCAGTTCTACTAACACCAAGATGATGATACCCTTGGTAGACATAGTGAGGGAGCATCATATTACATTTCTGACACGAGCGCCGTAGAAACCATGCGTACCCTCATTGAGATATCTCCTGTATAGTGTCAAAGGTGGTCCAGGACCCCGTTTATGATGTGAGCGGTTCGATAGTCGAGTCCCGAATCGCCTCTCTCCCGGGCCAACCACGCTCCATTTTCCGAGGCCGGTGCATTAGAACTTGACTTGCCCGAATGGGTAAAAAATCTAATTTGTACATAGGCCAGCCGCTCCCCCTCTTTCCTCAGTTACTGTATAGGCCACATCTCACTCAGTAAGCCATTGCAATTCTGAGTGCGAGGTGAATCCGTACCACAAAAGTTCTGCTCATCCCGCAAAGCTCATATCTGCGTTCAATTTCCCAATTCCAGATGGTATCGCTAAGCAAACTAATGTCCGTCGACGAAAACGGTGTCAACTTTGAGAGCCCTCACACAGCCGAAATGATGTCATTGACGCCGGAGATGAGTATTGAAATACAGCAGGTTCGGGCTGTTATTTTCGGACTTGCACGGATTATTCGTCGTTAAAATATTTAACAGGCTCTAG